GCATTATGTAAATGCTACTTTTTTGTGTCTACTCCGATGTACCATATTCTAGAACGTACCAGAAAAGTAACATTTACATACGCAAATACATGTCGTGTAAGGGCGCTATAAGCAGCGCACCTAAACAAGATTGCTATCATGCTGGGAAACAGATAGCGGGGGATGGGTAGGGCCTAACCCCACTACTTAATCTGGTTGCAAAAAGTAACACATAAATAGACCATATGGTCCATAGCAATACTAACTGGTGTTCAAACTGCTATGAGCTAAAAGTAGGCGTAATTTATTATGCCAACGAGACCGTAAACATTAAGCGATTATGTCAAGCTTCGCCGTTTTTCCACACGATCTTTGTAGTCTTACAGGTGGCCAGCCTGTTCCACATTGGTGTAGCCTGCCTACTCATGTGCTCATCTATCTCATTATAAAGATGTTTAAGAGATTTTAGCATGTCGTTCCGTCGCTCGAAAGTCAGATCAATAGCGCTTTTGGCATTCCCATTTGCCACCCCGATTCCTTGCATGTCCAGGCTACCAATGGATATGCAGCCGCCTCTTCGCGGCCAATCTGTCAGTTGCTACCCTGTTATAAAGGAGAAAATAAGCGCTGTTTTTTGTCGCCTGGCTAAAGTCGGAAAAAAATTGGGCGTTTTCACGCCGAGATCCTTGGGGTAAGGAAACACCTTGCGGGATACCTTTAGGGCACTTGGTCACAAACCGAGTGGTTCACTCAATTTAGGTCTTTATTGATCCTTAGGCCTGATCAGATCTTAAGATAGCTAATACACGAATGCGAAAATATTGTTTTTTGTACGGAATAGTTTCATAGACGAACAACGAGAAATGGGGTCGCCATTTTATGCAAGGTTGGATCGCCAAAATTACATTTCCATTACATCTTTAAAGTACTTATCCCTACGCTTTTAATATTTCTACCCTTCTTCACGTAGTTTATTGCCCTAATTTCATATCAAAATGAACTAACGCCTCATTTTCCTTCTTGTTTTTTTTCAGCATAATTGTTGGTGCACCACGCGCTCAATCCACACTGCCCGCCCAGCGGAATATCAATGAAACTGGTGCCATTTATCATTGCACTTTGTCAGCAACTTCCACCTGTAATCCATATGTCATCGATGATAGAGGTAATATCACAATCGAGAACTTCGACTCATATACCTACGACAATGAGGCGCGCGACAATCAATGGCTGGGTGCTGCCATGGATGGCGGCACCAAGGACACGGATAAGCTGTTAATATGCGCACCACGTTTTCTCACGCCCACCGCAAATGATTACCTAATGAATGGCATCTGTTACTGGGTTAAAGACACACTCAATGACAATCCAACAAAAGTACAAAGGATCTCACCATTGCGCCTTAAATCGGAGCAAAGGAAGACTGTTAACAATCATCCCACTTTCTATTATATGTTGGCAGAGGAAGGGCTGAGCGCGCATGTGACCGATAATAATGAAGAGTTCGTTATTGGTGCGCCAGGCATCAGTAATTGGAAAGGTTCGGCGATACATGTACGCAAACGATTCGAGGAGGATCCAATATTGAGTAGGCGTGATACGTCTGAAAGAAAGCGCGTGACACGACAAATTGAATTCTCAGGACAATACGTACTGAATACTGAAGATCAGGCGAGCGACTCGTACTTTGGTTATGCTGTGGGCTCAGGCTACTTTGACAGTAAGGATAAGGATCGGCTGATGTATGTGGCAACAGCGCCACAGGCCAATTTGCAATCGGGAGAGGTGAGTAGTATTTTAATTTGCGCGTATTGCAACTTAAAAAAATATTTCTTTCTCTCGATAACAGGCCTACTTATACAAATATTCTGAGGATAGCACGTTGAAGTTGACGCGCGTTTATGTTTTTCGCGGCACGCATTTCGGCGAATATTTCGGTTATTCGCTGCTGACTGAGGATCTTAACGGCGATGGGCTCACCGATGTGGTGATTTCAGCGCCACAATACTCAACGTCTGGTTCTTTCGATGATGGTGCCATCTATGTGTTCCTCAACAAAGGCAATGTAGGTGTAAATTAAATTTACCTTAATTTGGTCGGTAGTTCATAATTTTTATTTCATTGCCTACTCACAGTTCAATTTCGAGCAAAAACTGATAGTTTCGCCAGCGCATGGCAATGCGCGTTTCGGTACCACGCTCAGTCGGCTGGGCGATATCAACCATGATGGCTTCAATGGTATTGGGATTCTCGCTTTCATTTAAAATCAAATATACTCAAAGTTATTATTCTTCCGCCGCAGATATTGCTGTTGGTGCGCCATTCGCTGGCAACGGTGCCGTCTTCATCTATCTCGGCAGCAACGACGGCATACGCCAGCATTACAGCCAACGCCTGAACTCCCCTGATGCGGTTGTCAGCAAGTATGGCGAGCATATGTTTGGTCACGGACTTTCCAAAGGCGCCGATATCGATAACAATGGCTTTAATGACTTTGCCGTCGGCGCACCAAATGCCGAAGCGGTTTTCGTCTATCGCGCCTATCCCGTGGTCAAGATACACGCCACTGTCAAATCACAAACGCGAGAAATCAAAACCGATCAAAATAGTTTTAAGATCACAACCTGCTATAGAATCACCACTCCATCCGCGAAGGTGAACGATCAGGACTTGGCTATACGTATTGTTGTAGATCCACAAGTCAAACGCGCTAAGCTGGTGCAAACACGCACGAATGAGATTAGTTTTAATGCGACGGCTGGTCTGCAGGAGCAATGCCGCTCATTTGATTGTGAAGTACACAGCAGCGTGGCGGATATTTTCAAGCCAATCGAATTGGAAATGCACTATGATCTCATTAATGGAGTGCCGAATTCGGGAGGTGAGTAACTTATAGATGGGACTTATAACGAATCCCAAATGCTAATTACCAAAATTTATTCTGATTTACTTTACAGTATTCTGTGATAAATGCGCGGCCGTTGATCCGGCCGAGCCAAAGGTGTACAGTGAAAAGATCATCTTTAGTACGGGCTGCAGTTCCGATATCTGTGTGGCTGATCTGGAAGTTAAAAGCCACAATTTGGAGTGAGTGTCGCACGATAAAAAAAAGAAAATTCTTCCACTTAAGTTAAATAATAACAAACAACTTGATTTCCATCCATTTCAGTCACACATACATTCTCGGCAGTAGTCGTACACTGGCC